CAGGAATGTTATCAAGACAAAAAGAATGTCATTGCTGAAAATGGCCGACTGGCTGGTTCAGACAAACTTGTGCAATTCAGTGAATAAAGTTGTTCGCCTATGTTTTAGTAAAGGCGGAGCTTTTTTTTTTTTTGAAATTTTGCATATTAATTATGTTTGCATTTAATTTTAATTCAGACATTGATAATCATAATCGTTAACTTTGTTGACATCGCTACGGTGTTATTTGCTTTTTGTCGTGTGTTAAACTTGCTAAACGTGTCGTGTAAACTTGAACTTTCAATTAACATTCAATCAGTTGAACAGGTCTTGTCGCACGTGCTCAGCCCGGTGAATTCGCTTTGGGTAATTCATCACTCTCCAGACATGCACACTTGTTCAGCACGAATGGGCATGTTTTGGCCCTATCCAGCGCAAGGCAGTTAATTAACAATTAAAGTAACCATGGGAACGTGTATTTCTACAGTTTTTCTTAGTGAATGGTGTTTAAAGGCCGTTTACTGTTAGAAGTTCGTGAATTTAGGGCAAGAAATTTCGTTAATTATGTTCCTTAAGTTTACAAAGTCATTGAAAAACAATGCTGGTCGGCAGCTGATCAGTGCCGATAGGATGGTGCCGTACGCTAACATCTTGCTGTAGAGTAGATTATAAAAGTTGTAGGCCTTCAATTAAGGCCTAATAATAATAGACCTAAGTAGTAATAATAATGTTAGGCCCAATAGTAATGAATAATAATAAATAATACAGTATAGTATAATGATGTGTTGAGAATAGAGCATAACCATTAAATTAATTAATAATATAGTACATCATTCGTTTATACAACATTTATAAACACCTAAATATATATGAAATGAGATGCATTGATGCTATATTGTTTTACTGACGGTACATGTCAACTTCTCCACAGCTGTTCGCTGAACAACAACCCTAGACAGGCGGTAAGCCACCCCGCGGCGCCACAAAAGAACCGAGTTATTTGGGCGCGCCGGTACCACAAAAGACACTGTCGCGTTTAAAGCAAAGATAAGACCATTGTTGAACGCGCACATTTATGTTGCCGAGTGGAGAATTCTACTTCACTGCAGGCGATCAGTCCTGCCTTACTTTACCGGTACTTCCCCATACTCGTGGGAATTCCTTTGCTTACCATCAAATTTTACACGTATGAGAAAAACTTTATTTCCCACGAGCGTGAGAAAAAGAGACAGGTTCATCGCCTCCGAATTAAAGTTTGATAAAACTTAATATACATTCAACTAACAAATGCATTTAAAAGTAGTACAGCATATATGTTTTACAATCAGTCGTAAAATCGCCGATATTTTACTGTTAATTTATATATTGTGTCCTTGAAAGTTGGAAAATCTGACCTTGAATGTCCTGGAATTGTCCTGTAAATTTGCTTGTTTAAAAACGTACGAACCCTGGGTCTAATACTTGTCTGTAAATATAACAGATAAGTACCTAAAGTGTGATGTTCAAACCACACAGTATTGCAAGTTAACATACATAGCGCCCTCTGGAGCAGGGAAGTGAATAAATAGTTCAGTAACAAATCGTTCAATTGACTCAAGCATGTTCTTGTTGCTCTGTTACACAACATAGTAATAATTGTCAAAGAACATAACATTGGCGACGAGTGCTACAGTACTGCTACAAAACATCCTCAGAACGGATTGTACGAGTATTGTGAGTATTAGCGATCGTTAAAACCAATAATTAAGCGTCAAACATGGCTGGTAACGACGGTCTTTCTCGAATGATCCCAATCTTCGACCCGGCCCGCACTTGAAACATCTGAGGCTCAAGCTAGTGCAATCGAAAATAAAGGCAAAGAAACTGTTCAAAAACTCACACATTCAGTAGTTAAGCCAAGGAAAGCTGCCTACTGTGGAAAGCGAACTGTACAGCAAAGCTCTCCTAATACTCAGAGTAAATCCAAATGCAGAAATTGTGGTGGAAATTGGCCTCACACAGGAAACAATACCTGTCCAGAAAGAGGAAAAAACTGTGGAGCATGTGGCAAGTTAAACCACTTTGCGAAGTACTGTAGAAGTAAACCCACCAAAGCATTTAATAAAGAACCTGCTCGATTGCATGTGACAATAGCAAACGGCGAATCCAGTATTCAGTTCAGCACACCTCACAACTACCGCACTTCACAGTCCAAATTGAGAGTGACAGCAACGTCATGATGGCAGATTCTGGCTCTAGTATCAACATTGTCGATGAAAAGGACTATCAACGCATGAAACAAACCCACTCTAATCCAGTCCAATCTAAAAAATTTTCCATACAGTGCAGTTAAACCTTTGCACATCCTTGAAAAGTTCACGACAACTGTTACAAGTCACTCACAGCAATGCCATACAACCTTTTATGTTGTCAAAGGTTCTGGTGGATCGCTCCTTAGTTGGAAAACTTCTCAACGACTGAATTTAATCCAACCTACCTATCGTGTGTACATAGTAGAGAACTTTACAGACAAGTTAATAAACGAATTCAGTGAAATAGTTTGTGGTGTTGGGAAACTCAAGGACTATCAGGTACATCTTCATATTTATGAGAGAGTGATCCCAGTAGCTCAAGGTACTCGCAGAGTTCCATTTCATGTCCGGAAAGATTTGGCACGTGATGAAGAACTTGGCATCATTGAGAAAATAAATGGACCAAGGATATAACCAGATAGAACTAGCACCGGAATCTCGATATATCACATGATTTTCAACACATATTGGACTTCGTCGATATAAACGCCTCAACTTTGGCATTAATAATGCAGCGGAAATCTTCCAGAACGCCATACGAGAAATTCCGGCCGGCATTCAAGGCGTGATCAATATAAGCGATGACATTGATTTACGGAAAAAATCAAGATGATCACACCAACAGTCTTCGAGCTGTCTTCCAACGCCTTCGTGAAAAGGGACTAACATTAAACTCTGGAAAATGTGCATACAACAAACACATTCTTGAATTCTTGGTCACGTCTTCTCCAAAGAAGGACTTGCTCCTGATCCGAAAAAAATCCAAGCTGTTGTTCAGATGGACAAACCCCAAAGTGCATCAGAAGTACGTAGTTTATTGGGAAGGACAAGCTACCGCGGTTCACGCTTTTATCCCAAGATATGCTACTCTAACTCAATCACTTCGCGAACTAACGAGAAAGGATGTTCCGTCGAAATTGACTGACAGGCATGATGAAACCCTAGTCGCTCTACAAGATGCACTGGTACATGCACCTTTTCTAAAATATTTTAATTCACACTACGCAGGGCCGGCGGAACGTTTTTCAAAGTGGGGGGGGGCCACTTATAAGCAGGCGTGTAACAGGGGTCTTGGGTGATACCCCCCCCCCCCCCCACCATATATAAAACAATACGATATAGGGCTTATTTTATTATTGATATAGGCCACACACGTGTGTTTGAAACTAAATATAAGCATTTTCATCGTGGTTAGTATTTATTACAATCGTAGGCCCTTCTTTTAGGTAAAACGATCAATCTTAAATTTTCTTTCTCAAGTTTGGGACTATTATGTTTTTAAATAACTTAGAAGGCAAAGGAGGGCAAGCACAAGCTTTAACCGTAACAAATGCGCGAAAAAATTTGGTTTTTTTAATTCTAATTTCGTCGGAATTGATGCAATTTTTAGAGGAAATTGGCCTACCTCAACAAGAAATGCTCTTATGTTATATATGGCCACACTCGTTTTTTAAAACTGAATATAAGCATTTTCCTTATAGCTTTATTTATTACAAACATATTCTTTCAACATCATTACACATCGAGGCCCTTCTTTTAGGTAAAATGATCTATCTTAAATTTTCTTTCTTGAGCTTGGGACTATGTGTTATAACTTAGAAGGCAAAGGAGAGCAAGCACAAGCTTTAACATTAAAAAATGCGCGCGAAAATTGTTTTTGTTCTAAATTCTAATTTCGTCGGAAGTGATCAAAACTCCCTAAAATGTGCAATTTTTAGAGGAAATTGGCCTACCTCAACAAAATATGCGATTTAAAATTTTAGATTTTCAGGCACTTTCCCGGGTGAAAAGGCATTCAATGGGGAAAGATTTTCCACAGATGGATATTTTCCCCTTGTCCCCCGGTGGTTACGCCACTGCGGAGAATACCTGGCGGCTTATATCAAATGCGATATGGACACTTTTTGAAGTGGAGAAGGGGTTACAGGCCGGGGTATTGTGATATCTGTTCATTATATCATTATATCTTCCTTTTTATTCTTGCCTTTATTTTTCTCTTCTCTTTTTCTTTTCCTTTTTCCTTTCTTTTTCTTTCCCCTTCTTCCTCTTTCCCTCCCTCTCCCCTCTTTCTTTTCTCTTCTTACCCAGCCCGTTACGAAGGCTT